GTTGTTTGGTGCCGTCGAGTCGTAGATGACTCATAGCGGCCCTACGAATGAAAGACCTGAGTTGCTGGAGGCAAGCCATTTCAGAAGTGGATGCCACTCCTTCTTCCAAGCGCGTTTTAATCGGGAAGCTCTGCCAAACACTGTCCACCATGGGTAACCATTCTCACGTTTGGCACATCAGTGTCACAGTGTTTAGCATCACAGCAACCACAAGTTACCTCTGTACAGCAAAGCACAGACCTGTTCTATACCACCTAGAAGACTGTTAGACAAAAAAACAATTTGAAGCAGGCCTTAGGGCCGCAGATTAAAATTATCGACCCATTACCCTGGCAATATTCCTTTCCTCTCTGCAACATGGAACCTTGTATAGAAGTCTCCAGTGTTTTCCAGTGTCAATACCATGGGACTCAGGGATATTGAGATTCTGAGAGAAGTTGGGACTGGAGTGAGGTGAGCTGGAATCAGAGTGAGGTGCAGAAGAAAAGAGGGCACGAGAAAAACTCAGGCATCAAGATAAATAATATTTAATACAACATCTTTTTTAAAAAAATCAAATGAATGCAAAAATACATACTGAATAAAATATCAAAATTTTAAATGGATACTTGCTACAACGTTGGGTGAACTTTGAGAAACATTATGCTAAGTGAAGGAGGTCAGACAGAAAAGGCCACATATTGTATGAATCCACTTACACGGAATCTCCAGCGGAGGGAAATCACGGACTCAGGTCATAGACTGGCAGTTACCAGGAGCAGGGAGGAGGCATGGGAGCGACTGCTTAACAGGAATGAGGCTTCCTTTTGGAGGATGAAAATGTTTGAAACTAGACCAAGGTGGTGGCTGTACAGTATTGTAAGTGCACGAAATCATTGATTTTTAAGTGGTAAATTTTATGTTAAGTGGATCTCCCCTCGATTTGAAAAAATAAGAACTAAGGAGATAAAATCAGTGTCTCCAAGCAGGCACGCTCCTCGTGTGGGCTCCCCCCTCACTGCCAAGGGCACTGCCAGTCAGCCACACCTGTAACAATCTAAGCACCGGGAGAGGCAGGGCTGGGGATTTGGGAAACTGAGTTCAAGGCTGGGCTTTGCCAGTGACTTGCTTGAGTGATCTGCGCTTTGGTTTCCGTCTGTCCTGCGTGGAGGCTAGGGTTGGCCTGCTGACCCGCCCTCCCCATCCAATGGCTGGCTGAGGTTTCCTGTCCCTCTTCCTGGGAGCCTGTGTCTCGGGGCCATCGACTCCTGGCTATTAATATCTCAGCCATCCATGGCCTGATCGGGGTGTTTAATGACAGCCAGCTGTGGCTCCGGCCCCCTCCCTCAGGAGAGATAAGACGGGTTCCTGTTCCCACATGGGGGGGTGCAGGAGTAGGCTGGGTCACTGCACATTAGGACAGGCCTGCTGGTGGGTGGGAATGCCGGGGCTGACGCTGACCCTCACCCCTCTCTTGCCCGGCATACCACAAAGAGGTGCCTGGGGCTGAAGACTTTGGGAACATGCCTTCCTTTCTCCAACCAGGGCCAGTCGTGGGCTTCTGTCCTGGCCTGCACCCTGCCACTTCAGGTTCTGATTCCACCTGCCTTGGGGGTCTTCCTGAGATGTCTCACAGGCATTGCATTCTGCATGCACCAAATCAGGTCACCGTCTCTTGAACCTGCTCTTCTTCCTCCTCTTATGTAGATGGTGGGCTGGCTGCTCCCCTTCCCCCTCCCAGGGTCCCTGGAGTCCTTCACAGCAGCGGAAGCAGCCAGCTCCAAACCACACCAGTCCCGTGGCCTCACTTGCAAAGCTTGTCCTGTGTTCCTCCTGGAAAGGGCTCCTTGTGCCCATCACCTGGATTCAGCTGCCCTTGTCACCCATCATGCTTCCTTGGGACTCAAAGACCTCAGCTAGTGTACTCAGCAGACCCTCCAGGTGTCACCTCCTGTGTCCCCAAAAGGCAGGACTCACCTACATGGTTCTTACAAAGTAAAGCTGGGATGTTTCCTTATCTTTGTCTCCTCAGAAAGTGCCCACCTGAGTTAATTGGGTTGTGCTCTTAAGGGCTGTGCACTGTTCAAGGTCAGCTTTCAATCTGCACAGAGGTCAAGGTCCAGCCTGTGCCTAACCAGAGGCCACAGTTAGATAGGAACATGGCTCCTATATGCAGCAAGACTGAGGTCTCGGGTATGAGTCCCAGGTCTTGAGTTCCCTCTCCGAGGCTGGCCTTAGGCTCACCAGTCCTGTACGTACCACTCTACCTCTGCCTCTCAAGTGGAAATGCAGCTGAGAGAAGGTCATCCCGAGTCACCTGGCCTCCTGGTCTTTGGGGGCTCTAGGGCCAACCTTGATGAAGTCCTCCATGCCCCCACCAGGTGGCGACAGAGATAAGGTGACCTCACCTGACAAGTGCCCTGCCTGGAAGGAAGGAGTGGGAACCTGGGAGCCCAGGGAGGAATCCACACCAGGTCACCTTCACACCATGTCTGTTCCCAGGATGAGTTGCTCACTCGCAGCCTCTGCTGGTCAGAGTCTGGCCTGCCTTCATGTAGCCCACACCTTGGGTCTCTGCACCTCCTACACTTTACAACTTCTTGGTTGGCAAATCGGCTTCCCTCCAGGCATCTCCGTTTTACCCCGAAGCCACCACATTCTGACGGGTCCATTTCCTGCACGGTGGTGGACGGACCTGGTTCCATTTGATCTAAGGCCCCGTTTGGCTTTCCACAGCCCAGGCTGACCGTGAGACCCGACCACAGGCCTGGTGCTGTCCTTTGCTCTGCATACTTTGCGTCTGGGATCTGTCTCTCTGCTTCCTAGCTCATCCCTGCAGGAGCAGCTCCAATGTTCCACACGACCTCCATCCTCTGGGTCCCCAGGCTACTTGGGGTTTCTCCTTCCGCTGCTCCCCTCTTCCCTGAGCCCAGAGGGCATAGCAGGTGACAGAGGGTGCTGGACACCCCTAGCTAATCACCCAAGCCTGTGGTAACCACGAGGGTAGTGAAAAACACTTCACCCAACACCCTCTACTGTGCTGGTGGAGACACTGAGACTGAGAGATCATGACCTGTTGGTGGTCTTAGGGAAATTCTGAAGCAGAATCAGAACCAAGTGATGAGGGCTCTGTCATCTGGATGTTTCCGAGCTTTATGGGAGTGGACGGGGTCTGCAGAACCATTAATTTGAGGATGTGTAGAGATGGGACAAAATTGAGGAGTAAATTCAGAGAGGGTGCGCGACAAGCCCAGCTGGGTGAGAAGCGCTCGGGCACATCGCCTGGCCCTCTTAGCCCCCATGCCTTGGAAAGACAGGAGTGTGAGACCCTCAGGGAAGAAAGTCCAAGTTCAGGGAAGGTGCCCCAAGTTCTCCACCACCACCACCACCACCACCACCACCAATCATTCTCAAATAGGAAGTCTCTCATTGGAAGACACTGCTGGAAGCCACAGCTGGTGACTTTCCGGGAGACGCTTCTGTTTCCAGGATGGGGTTGGTGGGGAGCCGAGAATGTTCTCGCCAACAACCCAGCAGTGCTTGTGGTCAGTCCAGGAGCATGATCTCCTCCTCTGCTCTGGAGCTGACCACACGCACGGTGGGACCTGGAGCTGACCACGCGCACAGTGGGACCTGGAGCACTGTGAATCTAGATGGAGGGCATCTGCCACTCTTGGATACGCCGGATAACCGTCCAAAGGGCATCTATTTGCCTGTAACTACCCTTGCTCAAGTTCGTGATAAGCTGAGTGGCCGCTGAACTTGAGCCTCTCTTCAGGGTGCTGCACTGGGTCTGTCATTCTTGATGGGTATTGGGAAGGCAGTGAGAGAATAAACTGGAAAAGCTTTGTGAGTAGATGTAGGCTTTTACCAATCCATTTGGTCTCATTTTGACCAGCCTGGCCTTTCTCTCTTCCGCCTGCTGCAAAGACAATCCCTTTCTAAGTTTACAGGAAGTGGAACCCAGGAGGCCAGCGTGGGCAATGACTTCGGAGACTTCTTTGCTGACTGACACCATCTACTCCATTTCTAATCCTTCCTATTAGTCACAGTGTCGCCAGAGAGGACACAGTGACATCTGGGCTGTCCTCTGACTGCCTCCGTTTGACTGAACCCTGGGCAAGGGTGACATGGTCACCTCGTGCCCTGTCTGCTGCTTCTCTGCAGGGACGAAGGTGACCTTTGGAACGCTCAGACATAACCATTTCCGGGACCGCTGTCAGCTGCCCTGTATTAAGTCCAAGAGCAGAACCCTCTCTTGGCCTCAGAGAGAGTCACTGAGGCTTGCGCGGTGGGCGGGCTGTGTCTGAGGCCCTGGCATGCCGGGTGGCAGTCTCCTCGATTCCCAGAGGCTTCGGAGCTCCCGGGTCCTCAGGGTGCATGGTTCCAGCCACACCCCCGGGGCCTCTCAGCTCCATTTCAGACTGTGGAGGGAGAGCTGTGCTCTCCAAATCAAACCTCCTTACCACTTCTCAAGTGCCTGAGGCAGAGAGGCTTACTCACCTTTGAGCTGGCAGCTCAGAGCAGGTGCTACAGTAGGAGGAGAGATGCGGAAATGGATGCTTACTCCAAATAACATGACAGCAGTGGTGGCGTTTTAGGCACTGTAGAGGAGGTGACAATGGGTGACCTTTCTGGGCAAGGCCTTGCTCCTCTCAGGTCACACCAACATGTGAAGGTGGTTGGCTGCCTTCTCCCCACTGGTCAGGAGAGACCAGGGGTCACAGCAAGAGGATACAGATTTCCTGCCTTCGATTGGCAGAGGAGGGCACTGGAGAGGCGTCTGATGACTGATTTCTACCCCATCCTGCAGGAGACGCCCTCATGGCTCTGATTCAGCTTGTATCTGTGGACACACCTTCCTTTCTCCACTCAGGCACAAGTCAGAGCAATGACTTGGGGACCTGGGTAGCCTCCCCACCCAGAGGTGCGGCTGGCCATGCCCAGGTGGACCTCAGCCCCAGGTTCCACTTGGGTCCGAGGTGAGAGAGAGCTGTTCTGGGCCCCAGGGCGCTGGGCCATCAGAGCAGGGAGACCTCGGCCTGGAAGCTGGAGGAGCGTCGCGTGCTGGGGCTGACCCGCGTCAGCATGGAGACCTGCGTGCTGCTGGTGACGCCATTGCTGCCTCCTAGGGCGTGCTGATATTTGGAGTTCGAGCCTAGGATGCCCTGCAGCCGCCAGCGCCGCCATTTCCGCCGAAGCTCAGCCTGCACCTGGGAGAGGGGAAGGTGGTCAGGTCTAGGCCTGGACCCTCCTCTGGTGCTGATTGGGCTGTTCTGGATTTAGGGCGCTTGCACCAGCCAATTAGATCCTTGTTTGAGAATTTAAACTGAAAGACCAGGATGCTGCTGCTGCTGTGTGTGTGTGTGTGTGTGTGTGTGTGTGCATAGGGGGTGGGAGAGTGGAGTGGGGGAGTGGATGGGGCCTGCAGAGTTGGGATTGGTTGAGGCAAAGCTTAGAGAAGGATGCTCCTTAAGAATGAGGGGCTGGACCCTCCTTCAGATCTCTAGCTCCCTGCCCACTTGGGCTGGATTTCTGTGCCTTGTGACCAAGCTTCCACCATAACCCAAACTCTGCTCACTGTTAACTGTCCCCTCCTGCAGCGGACACACAGCCACTCAGTAAAAAGTTCTTCCAACTCTAAGGTGCACACACCCACCCCCGGGATCTTTGATACATTTCAGACTCTGGGTCAACAGGTCTAGGGTGGCTCAGGGAATCTTGCATTTTCAATACTATCCTAAGTGATTCGTATGTTCCAAGCCCAGAAACTGGCATTTCCTGTGCCCTGGTTTCCACGGTCCAAGAAGGTCTTACCTCACCATTGAGGAAGCAGTAGAGGATGGCCACCACAAAGCCCTGGGGACAGAAGGGACGAGAAGTGGAGCAGACGGATTCTGGGAGCTCCGAGGCTTGCCCAAACCCCAGCCCCAACTCCCGTGTCCCCCTGGCTCGCCCAGGGCCAAAGACACAGCAGATGCTGTTAATACTTTTGAAATGAAAATGGGTAGAATCCAGTGAGGAGAAGCCACAGTCCCAGGCTGCATTCCTTTGAAGCCCAGAGAGAAACGCAGCCATAAGCCAATGGTCCATACCTGGAAAGACCCCACAACGAGCTCAAAGACCATTTTCACTTCAGCCTTAAAGTTGTCCGGGAAGAAGGCAAACATGATGTAGTGGACCCCGAACAGGGGGATCAGCAGAAGCGTGGACTTGGTTAGCCTCCTGGAAACAGAGAAAGGATACGTCAGAGGGTAGCTGTGTCCACTTGGGCACATCCGATTGGGCCTGGGGTCGGAGCTGCTGGGTTAGAGGCCCTGATGATGGAGAGTGACCAGGACATTTGCTCTGGGAAATGTGGTGTCCACAGCGGCGTTCCCGCAGGGCCTCTGCTCTTATGCTCCCTACTGGCCCTTTTGGTCTGAGAGGAAGCAGGAGACACACTCTCCTGCTACCAGCCAGCCACCCTTCTGGAGAAGAAAGAATAGAGGCCCGTGATGACCCTGAGGATGACACATGATAGTGAGAGTTCAGCCTCTGAAGCAGCTAATGACGGATGGTTTCAGGCTACAGGAGACTGTGAGCCTCTCCTCTGGTCTCAGTCTCCCCATCTGCATAATGGGTCAGTGTGTGCTTACATCACAGAAATGAAGGTCTGTTGCAAATTCTACTGCTTTTAGTGATAAAAAGTGCAGAGATCCGTGAGACACCGATATTCTAAGAGGAATAAGGACTTACAGGAAGACAGCCATTCTGAGGTGCTGGCCACCTAGGCCCCAGGCCACTTGGGAGGGTGGCGGACACCCATCTAGTGTCTGTCACTCTGGAAGACACAGGGTCCAGCCCTTTGGTTTTTCTGCTGTGTCCACTTCTCCAGGGTCCCCCGTCTCCCCTCCAGCACTGCATCCTCCCAGTGCGCCCTAAAGGAGTATGTCCTCCTTCATCAGCCTGTGGGCTCACAAAATCCCCTTCAAATGAACTGCTGTTCATTGAGTTGGAGCTGTGCTCTCAGCAGCGTCCACATTCACTCCAGACGACTCGCCCCTCTCCCACGGAGCAGGGCTCATCCTGCTTCAGGCTTCCTGTCCACCTGATCTCATTGCTGGTCCAAGCAGAGAGAGACCTGGGGCAGAGCTGGGGTGGCCTGTCTCTGCCTCTCTTTCCCAGCCTTGGTGTGCTACGAGGGAGGCCGAGCCCAGAGCCTGAGGTCCCACGGCAAGCTGCGGGCAGAGGAATTAACCTTGTCCTTTCTCCCACGCATGGTGAACATGTATGTGTCCCAGACACACCAAGCCTCTGAGCACGGCCTGCCCCTCCCGGGCGGGAAACCTCTCCCACATGCCTCCCAATGGTGACAGATGGCGACTTTCTTTAAACTGAAGGCTTATGGGGAGGTGGAAAGTGGGAGCCAGCGGCCCCTCTGGAGGAAGCGCCATGTCCTACTCTCCCCACCCCTCCTGCCTGCTGTCAGCTGTTCAGTCTCCCCCTCAGCACACTGGGGTGACAACCGGCTCCCCCTGCCTTGGATGCAAGCTCTTCTGAGCAGTTGTATTTTGGGGAATCACGGTCCTATTTTCAAAGGTGAGGATGAGGATGTGTAAGCCCCATGTTAGGCCCCCTCAGGGCACCGCAGACCCCTCCAAGGTCCTCCCTTCTAAGAAGGGAAGGGAAGCTCTGCCTACGCAGTCAGCAGGAGAGAAGTCTCGTCACAACAGGAATGTGAGTCTTAGTCTCCTCAGAGCGAATCACAGGATTCCAGAATAGAATCCTAAATCCAGCAGCTCGTGACATCCGAGCGGGCATCCTGGAATCACGGCACACACTCTCCAGATGAGAAGTCAGGCCCAGAACATTCTAGAGCCCCAGGACCAAGGTCTCGAGGTGATGTTCCATGCCTATCTTATCAGCAGGGCACTGATAATCAATCAGTTCCCAGGTCCATCTGTGGGCGTGCAAACTTCTCCTTTTCTGCCCACATCTTCATGTTTTGTGAGTTCTCCCTGTTCCCATGAAAACCCACTTGTTTCTCCGGTCCTCCTAAGCACACAGCCCTCACGCCTTCCTGAGTAAGGAGTACCGATTACTATCCCATTTACACAGTTACGGGTGCACATCAGTTTCCTCATCTGTAAAATGGGATTTTTTTTTTTTTAAAAACCCAGATGTGTGCGTGTATGTATGAAAAGATTGATACACGGGGGGAAAAGACTGATAGATGGATACATGGAAGTTCCTTAGCCCATGCCTGGCCCCTGTCAGTTGTGAAAATCATTGTTATGACTGAGAACTGTGCAGTCTTTGTGTGTGTGTGTGCATGTACCGTCAAATCAGATCTGACTGGTACAGGAGGAGATTGTCCCTCCTTCCCCGGCAGAGCATCTGGTGGATTCGAACCGTGCCCCTCTGGGATTGTAGTTGCAGCTTCTTGCCACTAGGCCACCAGAGCTCCCCAGAACTGTGCAATCTTGAGGACGGCTGTTTCTTTGATAGACTGAGGGCTCCCAGGACATCACCCACTGGGCAATTCTTCCACTGTCTCTGTTCTAGGCACATGCCAGAGACTGTGGTGAATGGGACGCAGGTCATCTACTGTTTTCAGACATTCCGGGTCTGGCCACGTTGACACACCTGGGCCAGGCCACCTGCTAGGTGTACCACGGAGAAGCAGGCATGGGATTCTGAAGCAGCTGGTGAAGGTGGGGTCTAGGCAGGGCACACTGTGGGCTCATTCAAGCCAGGGGCAGGAGGCAGGTTAGAGCTTTCAGTGATGGTGAAGGTTTGGGGTAGGGGACCTTAGGGTGACATGGGGTGACAGGGGAATGGGAGTTGGGGGGCCGGGGCTTTAGGCCACACTCACGAGTATGGGCTGCTGGAGCTCTTCCCGACCTCTGGGGGGCGCAGTTTCTGAACCAGGATGCGGATGATGCAGATAAACAGGATGAAGTTCACCTGAGCAGGGGTGGGTGGGGAAGGTCACGGTCATGGTCAGCAGGTCAGAGGGTGAAGACTGGGGGTCCAGTCCCCTAGGAGGGTGGTGGCCTGTTTCCAGGTCTCTGATGTCCCTCCATGTCCTCACCCCCCACCCCAACCCCTCTGGTTAATTTTCAGAGGACTGTGCCTCCCTGTCTGGATTTTCTATTCTTTTTTTAAAAAATGGTATTTTTTTTTTTTTGTCTGTGTGTGTGTGTGTGTGTATATTGTCAAATCAGATCTGACTGGTACTGGAGGAGACTGCCCCTCCTTCTCCAGCAGGGTATCTGGCAGATTCAAACCGCGCATCTCTGGGACTGAAGTGCAGCTTCTTGCCACCAGGCCACCAGAGCTCCCTTGGATTTTCTATTCTTGAAGAAGAGCTGGCTGGGGGCGAAGGGAGGCATAGAGAGGACCCTGACATGGGCATTGGGAAGCCTCTGCTTTGGTCCTGATCTCAGACACCGAAATAAGCTGTCTCTGTACTGTGGGACTCAGTTTCCCCATCTCCAATTGGCAGAAGAGTCCTTACCAAGATGGAGGTGAGGATGGGGGCCTTTATGATCCACCACAGTGGCGATTCGATGGTGTCCCAGCACCTGGGCAGGGGATGGGAGAGGAGAACAAGAAGCCTTCCTCAGCCAGAGAGAGTGTCGGTGGGACAAGAGGCCCCTCGTTCTCCCCAGCTCTTCCCCAGAACCTCAGCCGCCCCAGGCCCAGTGTCTGTTGCTCTCTGGGGCACCCTCGGTTTGCAGCCCTTCCCATGGGGAATGAAGGTGGTGGTTCATTCACGTGGCAAGTGTGCATAGTGTCATCATCTCATCCCGGGGGAGGTGATAACTTACCCGCGATCATCGAAGTGGATCCTGGTGATGGTCCACACCATGGTGAAGGTGCTGGGTACCCCTGCCAGGGTCAGAGGAGAGAGGAGAGGGCCAGGAGGCAGGGACCGAGGGAGGGAGGGAGGGAGAGAGTGAAGGAGAAGGAGAAGAGGGAGGAAAAGAGCAGTTTCCAGGGCTGCCACCTATGGCTCTGCAGGTGTTGTGTTTGGTTGGTTTTTGTTTTTTAATGCAAAATGATCTATTAAGGGGTATAACGCATGCTTGAGCAGGTATATTTACCAAGAGGGAGCCTCATTCTCTAATTTTGACCAAGTCCCCTTATAGACAAGGAATGACTCTCTATATTTTAGGAGCCGAAGGAGGCTCACAGAACCCTAAAAAGTCCCACAGATCCATGTGAGATGCAGCTGCAGTCTGAGGGCACCTGCCTGAGGCTCGAATGTTTGAGACTGTCCTTCAGGCTTTGGCGGAGAACCCTCTGGGTAGGACCCGCAGCCCAGCAGGACGGTGAGCCTGCAGGCTGGGGTAATGCCTTTCCCCACCTGGGGCCAAGCTCCCCTAGCCCTGCCCCCTCTGTCCCCAGCCTGAAGCCCTCCCCGGTGCCATACCCCAGCCGATGAGTATGTACCCCCAGAAGTACTTCCGCTCGGAGAAGAAGGAGATGGCAAGTAGGGTGTGCAGGTACAGTCCCTCCACCAACAGCCAGAAGAAGTTGGCCATGACACAGTACTGGAAGAGGACCACCGCTGCCTTACAGCCCACCTGCGGGGAGAGAAGCCGGAGGGGTCGGTGGGACTAGCTGGGGCCCTGCCTGCCCACTCCTCTCTCCAAGGGCACACAAACTACTTTGGGCCAATCAACTTCATCTCTTTATTTTTTTGCATCATTGCCTTAAAAACATCTCAGTGATCTTCCTGTTATCCCTGGTTATATGTCATCTGGTTCTCTGAGACGAGCTGATGATTTTAATTATCCATGTGGTGTTGAAGCAAAGTGCTGAACATCCCTTGGACTGCCAAGAGAACGAACAGCTATGTCTTGGAGAGGGTGCAGCCGGAGGGCTCTTTGGAGGCAAGAATCACGAGGCTTCGCCTCACATACTTTGGACATATTGCTAGGAGAGGGATGTGATGCTGGGAAGGGTGGAGAGTCAGTGAAGGCGAGGAAGACCCTCGACCAGGTGGACTGATACGGAGACTGCTGCAATGGGCTCTCTTGTGTGTCAGGAAGTGTGAGGACGGTGCCGGATAGAACAGGGCTCAGATCTTTTGTTCACGGGGTCGCTATGAGTCATGCTCAACTTGACGGCACCTAACAACAACACATTCATTATCTATTCATCTTTCTATTCAGCCACCAATTTATAATTTACTCCTCACCTACCTACTGCCACCAAATAACCTGTTTATCCATTATCCAGGCATCCTTCCACTGTACGGCCGTCCTCCCATCTCTCTGTCCACCTATCTCTCCATTCATCTACTTACCCATCTACTGGGCACTCACTCCCTTGCATCCCACTCCCACCTAATCATTCATCTGTCTTTTCTTCTATCTACTCATCCATCAGCCCATCCTTCCATCCATCTACCTGCCTATCCACCTACCCTAGACCCATCCCCTGCCTTCCCTTCCTTAACCATCTATCCTTACACCTAGCCACTATTTACTCAACAATTGACTCATGTACTCATCGATCCACTTATCCAGTCCTGATCTACCTAGTCATTCAACTTATTCCAATCAGAATGAGAGGTATCTGGAAGAGGTATGAGGGAGAATTCCTGCTTGACTTTGCAAAATCCACTGCATATGGGGGCGTGGGTGTGTCGGAGACAGTGAGGCACAGGACTGATCAGGGTTTAGGGCTGTCGTGTAGGGTCGCTATGAGTCTTGGGTGACTTGACGGCACATAACAACAACATATATATAGAGAGAGAGGTCTGGGACTCTGGAATGGAGCCGGATGGGAGCGTTGAGGATGGACAAGCAGGGGCTGAGAAGAGGGAAGTGAAAAAGGGGAAGAGAGAGAAGTGGCTATCCTGCCAGGGCCGGAGGAGCAGGAGGGGAGTGGACGAAGATGGCAGAGGAATCAGGAAGAGTCCCGAGCAGGGCAGCCTAGCGGCTCTCTCTGACCCACTTGGCACGAGTAGAAGGTCTTCGGAGTCTTTCTGTGCCCGCTCCGAAACAGGCTTCCATTTCAGATCAAACTTAGATGCCTGTGAGACACAGCTTAAAGGCAGCCTCGTCCAGGAAGCTTGCAGAGTCCGTGCCTTCTTGTAACGTGGATTCCTGCCCTTCCTCCCAGCGCCCTTAGCTTTGCCACACCCTCAGAGAGCAGCCTTCTGAGGACTGGAAAGGCCTCCCTTAGGCCACAGACCTTCCAGATACAGCCTTTCTCCCCCTCCACTGTCACCTACTTCTCCCCGCCAGCCCCCCCATTTGCTTCACAACAAGAATAACTCAGCTCTAACAAGCCTATTACCTGTGCTTTCTCTTGCCAAGAAAACAAACAGATTCATCCTGGAGAGGGTTAAACCAAGCTACTCCTTGGAGGCAAGGATTCTGGGGCTTCGTCTGACATACTTTGGACATGTTGTAAGGAGGGACAGGTCCTTGGAGAGGGACATCATGCTTGGGAGGGTGGAGGGACAGCGCAGGAGGGGAAGACCCTCTATGAGGTAGGCTGATTCAGTGACTGGGGTAATCAGGATGGGTGTATCAGAGGCAATGAGATTGGCACAGGATAGAGCAGGGTTTAGGGCTGTTGTACATAGGGTCGCTATGAGTCGCAAACGACTCGACGGCACATAACAACAACAATAACTAACAAACCTATTACCTGTGCTTTCTCTTGCCTTAAAACGAGCTGCTAAGGAATCAGGAAATTGTTCTCCACTACGATCCTTTGTACAGTGCATGGGGGCTGCTCCCAGGCTATGTGACTCACACCCCATCTGTATGACTTGGCCCTCAGATCCTGGCCTGGATTCTCTGAGGGGCTGCGGGAATGGCCGGGGTTGTCCTCCTCCGTTCCCTCTCCCCTCCACTGAGGTGCCTGGGGTCCCCCCATCATAGCTTATTCTCTTAGGACAACTTACTGCTGACTCCACAGAGTCACTGACCACAATGAAAGGGTGGGAGCTTGGGTGGTCTCTGGCTGTAAGTTGGGATAAGGGCTGGAAGCTGTGGGCACTCCAGGAGGGGACCCTGAGCTGAGGTCACTCGGAGATGAACCCAGAGTCACCTGGAGTGACAAGATGGATCCCTTAGACATTCCCCTAATCAGGCCCAAGACTGGACTGCCTGCAGGGGAAGAACAGAAGAGGGAAGTGTGTGTGTGTGTGTGTGTGTGTGTGTGTGTGTAACAACTCCTCATAGAGCAAAGGCAAGGGAGGGGAGAGCAGCTAATGTGCCCCGGCTTGTAAACAGCAGAGCACAGAGCTGGAAGGATTCTTGGAAGTCTTTGTAAAGCTGGGACAACTGAGTCAGGGAATTCTCCACGACCGACCGCAAGGGGAGTTAGCAACAGAGGAGGGGCAGGGATGCTGGGCTCTGGCCGTAAAGGGTTCCACCAGGAGAGAAACAGGCAAGGGGCTGGTGTGTGGACTCTGATTGCAGAACGGCACCTCCAGCTGCTAGGAAGACAGTGAACTTGAGGACTTGTAGGGGTTTGGGTGTACTTAGGGGGGAAAGAATAATGAGGAAGGAAAAAAGGGAGGAAGGAAAAGGGTGGGAGGGAGGGAACTGCAGAGTTAGGGTGAGGGGGCAAGGGAGGTGCGCTGGGCAGGGGGTCCTCACCGAACCGGAAGAGCAGCGGTCCGTCTCCCCGCTGTCGAAGAGGGCCAAGTCTTTGATGAAGACCGCGGTGGCCCTTAGGATGAAGGACGTGAAGAGGTGCATGTGGATATAGTTCCTCGTGCAGTGGAGCTTCCTGTGCAGGACAGGAGGGTCTGAACCTGAACCCAGATAACCCTCACCCCCCCTAACACTCTTCAGAACTCTGAGCAGGGTGGGGAGGATGCAGGCTCCATGTAGACCCACCCAGTGTGGGCCCCACCCCAGGCACCCATCCCGTCATGCAGCCCTGCTCCCAGGGCCCCTCCCCTTAGTACAGGGGAGTTCTGGTGTGCAACCAGGCTTCGGGCACCCCTTGGGCACTCTGCCAGACCACGGATGGCTGGCTTGACAGGGGACTGAGGCAGGGACTGCGTGCTGGAGGGAAAGAGTAGAGGGGGTCAGGACAGTCTTGGAGCTGGGGGGCTCCACGGTGAGAGTGATGGTGCTTTGAGACTTGTCACTCAGACTGGATCTCACCTGAAGAAGCTCAGGATGGCCATTGCGATTAGAAGGGCAGCCAGGGACAGGCTGTAGCCAATGGTGTAGCCGGTCTTCACTGAACTGTAGAACACTGTCTGCTGATGTGAGAGAAGGGGCGAGTGAGGGTCTTGGGTGGGTGGGCTCCCACAGGGGTTTCTGGCAGAGGTAGGGTATCCTATACATCTGTACTGGGTAGATGAGTAGGGAGTGGCCCTGGGTTCCCAAGAACATTTGAGGGGTCTTCTTTGTCCCCAAACCCCTTAACCCCGTAGATTCCATAGACAAGATACTACTGCTTACCAGGGTGGGGTGGAGTTGAATTTAGTGGTGGGAGACAAAATTATGAGACAGAGTGAAGGCCCCTTGGGTGCCATTCATTCATTTATTGTCTCGTTACGGGCCCAACTGTGGGCTCAGCACCCAAGGGGACTAAGCCTGTGGGCCCTGCAGACTTCCACCTAAGCGCAGTGTGCTGTGGGGCCAGGCGAGGTACACGGGGAACGGCAAATATTAAAGGGGACAACGTGGGGCTAAACTCCCATCTCTGGGCAGCAGGATGAGGACAGTCTGAGCTTTCTAGGGAGGTAAATATGGACCCCTAATTCTTGTATGATCCTTTTTTTCCATGTCCTCCTTGTCATGATCATGGTCATGGTCATGGTCATGGTCATGGTCATGGTCACGTATGCAGAGCAACAATCACTGGAAAAGGCCCCACGCCTTCTCTGCCTTCCACTGCTGTCTGAATAGAGCCAAGTGATTCAGAGGGCTCTAGGGAAATGTGGGCCTGAGGCTCCAGTGGGCTTCTAAGGTCTCCGGGGACATTGCTGCCCTCTAAGAAAGAGTGGAAGTCCTCTCTAAGAAGATCTTCTAGGGGTGGGCCAGATATCATTACAGACAGACAGACAGACAGACAGACAGACACATGCATCTGTACATCGTATCAGCAAGGTGGCTTTTAGCTGAGGACTCTAGTTATTCTTCAGTCTCCCATCAATTCCCATCCCTGGCCCCTGGGCTCAAATCCTTACAGGGACCACCTATGCTGAGTCGACTCTGGGGACAGATTCCCCATCCTGGGATGAAAGGCGTTGTTGTTGTCCCTGACCCTGACTGACTTGTGGGTGAGTGAGGTTGCACCTCTTCCAGGTTCTGCACCTCTGGATGTGAAGGGCCTGCCTTTGGCTGTCTTTCAGGGCTAGAGCGAGGCTCCCATGAGGCAGTGGAGGGGTCTAGCTTGGGGCTGCTGCTTTAGCTTTTATGGCTCTGGGAACCTCCACCCGTCATGTGAGCTTCATAAGAACTCCTTCCCACACCTTGCCGGATGCAGAGGATCAATCCCCAGATACGCAGGACTGGAAAGAGAAGAGGCTTAGGAAGGGCAGACCCTGGCTCCGACTTGGAAAGCAACATCCTCCCTTGGTGGGGGTGTGGGTCAAAGAAACCTAGCAAGCAAGGATGCTCTGGGAAGTGAGGTGGGGATTCGCTGAGTCCCACCTTATCCAAATTCCATGCCTTGTCATTAAAGCCACAGGCAACAGGGTAGGGGCCAGGCTCCAGGTGTGTCCAGCCCTCTTCAGTGCAGCTGCGGCTCACGTTGAGGCCTGGGAAGGGCAGGGACAGGGAAGATGGAGAGACGTTTGGATCAGGCGCAGGGCTAGTCTCTGGAGCAGGTCATGGGGGTCTGCCTAGCTCTGCGTGACACAGATCCAAGAACTTGTCCTCATGGCTGCCAAATCCTGGGGCTGTTGGACTCCAGCTGCTCAAATCAGACATTCCAGGTATCATCGGGGGACTTGGGGAGGGAGAAAGCCCCTCTGGGGCCACTAGGGGACCCCCAACACAGATGACAGAACACATTCCTGGGACAAGTCCTACCTTGTCCTAGTAAAAACTTGACCTCAGGTGCAATATCAGCATTGAAACCCTTGTCATTGACCCAGCCTGGATCCTTGTCACAGAGCGACCTCTGACACTTATCCATAGTTGAACGCTGACACTCAGATTGAGACTGGACTCTGGACTCAGATCCTGGTTCAGATCTGAGGGACTAGTTCAGCAGATGGGTTTCTACGAGGACAGGAGTGGGTACAGACAGTAGCCCTCTGGCTGGGGTGTGGGGCCTGGTCCTGCCCAGTCCTCTGTGGTCAGCCTGCCTGGGGCTTTGAGCCTGGATTACCTCCTTAGTCAATGGGGCTGAGAGAGGCTGCTGGCGAGCAATGGGTGAGGAGGTCACCTGAACATGGCACAGATCTGAAATCCTCATCAATGGGGAAGCAAGGAGTTCCTGGGAGTCTGTGTTTGGGGAGTTAAGCTCCAACCGCACAGCATGATCTTGGGGAAGAAACATGTTGAGGCTGCAGTACTGGGTCAGCTGTGCTACATGCATAGTGACAGCAAAGGGACAGGACTACCAAGGGGGCCTGTGAAGTGACAGGAGTCACTGAGGCTCTCATATCCAGAGCTACGGAGGCGTTCACTGCCCCAAAGAGAAAGGAGAGTTTGGATGGGCAATGAGTGAGCCAGAGAGGAGCCTCTTCCCCTCCCATGACTCATTAAAGAGGCGCTTGAGTCCAGGAGAAAGTTGGCCAACTGGGGGGTGGGGCAGAATAAAGGGGACTGAGGGGGAAGTGAAAGAGGAGAAGAGGGGGAGTGGGAGGAGGAGGAAGGTGATGGAGGAAGAAATAGGGGGAGGGAAAGAAAGGCAGGAAAAGAGAAGAGATGGGGAGGCACCCTTGTTCCCTAGGGGCTTGCTCACTGGCACCACTCTCATCACTGTAACCATCGGATCATCAGGATCCCTACAGGCACCTGTATCACTGTCATCAAACCATCACTGTCACTGTCTCATCACTGTTATAATCACCAACATTATCACTACTATTATCAACTTCATCATATCACCACCAAAACCGTTACCACTGTGGTCACAACATGCTCATCACCATCATCGTCATCAAGTACCATCACCACCCCACTCTTCATCACCACCATCATCATCACTGTTACAATCACCCTCATTTCACTCTTATCATTACCCTCATCATATCACCACCACCACCAAAACCGTTACCACTGTCACCACCACATGCTCATCACCATCATCAATCACCACTATTACAATCACCACCATTTCACTAGAATCAATTTCATCATTCGATCATCACCACCATCAACCTCGAATCTTCATCACTGTTCTCGCTCTCATCACCGTATCACCACGTCAACACCAGTGTCCTCATCACCATCGTTATCACTATCGTGTCACATCATCTCCACTGTTACAACCACCATCATTATCAGTACTGTCACCACCGTCATCCTCGGATAGTCACTGTCACCACCACCATCACCATCACCACTATTATAATCACCATCATCGCATCACCACGTCAACACCAGTGTCCTCACTCATCACCATCGTTATCACTATCGTGTCACATCATCACTACTATATTTTTTTAAATTTTATTATTTTTGTGTGCGTGTACCGTCAAATCAGATCTGACTGGTACAGGAGGAGATTGCCCCTCCTTACCCGGCAGAGCATCTGGTGGATTCGAACCGTGCACCTCTGGGATTGTAGTTGCAGCTTCTTGCCACTAGGCCACCAGAGCTCCCCTATCACTACTATTATAACCATCATTATCAGTATTGTCACCACCATCATAACCATTACCACTGTCACCACTGTTATAATCACCATCATTTCACTAGTAGCATTATCATCTTCATCATATCATCACTACCATCATTCTTGCTATCATCATGTAACCATCACCACCACAATCTTCATCACCATCATCAGCACTGTCATAATCATCATCATTATCACTATTATCTTTATCACCTTCATCGTCACTACCATCACCATCATTCCTGAAGAGCAATGGAGTCACTCTGGAGACTAAGGTGTGCCTGACACAGTCCATGTTCTTTGCAATTACTTGCTGTGTATCAGAGAGCTGGACAATGACTAGGGAGGATAGAAGGAGAACTGATGGCTTTGAGCTGTGGTGTTGGCGAAGAGTATTGAATGTATCATGGACTGCTAGGAAAGCAAACAGATTCATCCTCGAGAGGGTTAAACTGGGCTGCTCCTTAGAGGCAAGGATTCTGAAGCTCCATCTGACATACTTTGGACATGTTGCAAGGAGGGATCAGTCCTTAGAGAGGGACATCATGCTTGGGAGGGTGGAACACAAGAGAGGAAGAGTCTCTGTGAGGTGGGTTGATTCAGGGACTGGGGTAATGGGGGTAGGTGTGCCGGAGACAGTGAGATTGGCACAGGATAGTGCAGGGTTTAGGGCTGTTGTACAGAGGGTCACTGTGAGTTGCAGGCGACTCAGGGCACACAACAACAACAACAATCACCATCATTATCACTATTATTATTATCACCTTCATCATCTCTATTATCACCATCATCATCATCATCGTCACTGTTATAATCACCATCATCATCACTATCAAAATCACTATTACCATTATCATCACTTATCATCGTCATCAATATGAGAACCAGCACCTTGATCACTATTATCCCGACATCAATGTCATCATCATCACCATCACAGCTTCATCACAAGGACAGACGTCCAGAACTTCGGCCTCACTGCTGCACAAAGTCCTCTACACACACTTACTTACTCTCCTTCACTGTCCAGTGCAGAAGGTAACCCCACTTGGCTGTTGAGAAGTGGAGGTCCCAAAGGTTGATCACTAGCCCAAAGCCATACAGGAAAAACAGGGTGGGGAAAGTTCAGACACAAGTCTTCCTGGATAATCTTGGTCCTCACCTGCACTGAGGGGACCTGAGGACTAGTTTTGCGTGTTCAGGGGCAGAGCCAGGGGAGGGGTCAAGGTATCCTGTCTCCTCAGAGAGGTGAACATCCTGCGTGGTTTCCACATTCACTCTTTCCATAAATCCTCCTGCCATCATTTGAAAGAAGTTCTTGTCATCTCACTGAATAGATGAGGAACTGAGGGCCAGTTAGGGGAGAGAAGGGACAGCATTATAGAGATTGAAGCTTGGGCTGGCTTTCTTTCCACTGTGTAGTCTCAGGAAGGCCAAGAAGGGGCACTGGGTTTTGCTGTTTCCCTTTGTGAATGACCTTTTTCTGTCCACGAAGCAGCTCTGGTGGCCTAACGGGTAAGGACTTGCCAATCAAAGGGAGGTGATTCGAAACCACAAGCTGCTCCTGAGAAGAAAGACGGGCAATCTTTTCCCATTTGATTTACAGCTTCAGAAAACCCACTGGAGGATCAGCTATCAGTGAATTTCGACTTGAGGATACAGGAGAAATCTTCACCTGCTTCTGTAACTTCTTACCACTGCAGTCAAAGGTGGGCCTGCCCCAGGGCTTTCAACTCCCCGCTCACCAAACCACAGCCCTCGTTTCATCTGCTGTTCTCAAGAACTCACTCTGCCCACCCTAAGCCAGTGCTCATCCTCAGAATCTGGCTCCTACCAGGCTGATAAGCAGAACAGTGCAGACAAGGCCAAAATAACCCAGCTGGCATCCGTGAAAGTAACCTCTCAGGCTTCGGAGCCCCCATGTGTCTAAAGGATCAGGACTTGATGAAGTTATTCCCAAAGACAAAGTGGACACCTGGTACTTAAATGGAGTTCATGGGTGGTGCAAACAGTTAACACGCTTAGCTGATAATCAAATGACTGGAGGTTCAAGTCCACCCACAGAAGCCTACTATTCCAGAAAGAATCCAGCCACTGAAATCCTTCTACTTTGCCAGCTTTGAGATGGAATTAACTGTATCAACTGGGTTCTGATATTACAAAATCTGCTAGGGAACCTGGTAGTGCAGTTGCAATAGCTAAGCAATATCCAAGGGTAACAAGCCTTCTTCAGTCTTGTCTTGCTGACCAATGGTGGCGTCTCACTGGCCTTTAGAAAGAGCCCAAGGCCTCTCCTGTGTCCTCTGCCCACCTGTGTCTTCCTCACACTGCACATTTCCCAGCTGTCTCTCTCTTCCAGTCACAGTAGCCTGGAGTTTCTTTCTCTGAAGTTCATGGGCCACTGGCTCCCTCTCTCAGCCCTTCTTCTTTTCTTTGAGGAGCTCTGGGGTGGTGATTCCTTCTTACTCTCCAGGTCATCAGACTACAGTTCAACGGCTCTTCCTCTGGGAGGTTGAACATGAGCATCTGCCATGTCTACAGAGTCTCCCACTATTCCCCCTCCCAGCACATCTTACTATTTGTGATAACATATCTGTTTACTGTTAGACCTCCCCCCACCTAAACATCAGCTCTGTTAGGGCAGACGGGGGGCATGTTCCATCCTCAACCTCATATTGCTTTAGACAGGACCGTGTCTAGTGCCCAGGTGCTCAATACACATTCACCAAGTTGCTCTCTGGAGGCAAGGATTTTGAAGCTCCGTCTGACATACTCTGGGCACGTCGCCGGGGGGACCAGTCCTTGGAGAAGGACATCATGCTTGAAAGGGTGGAGGGACAGCACAGGAGAGGAAGACTCCAGATGAGATGGATTGACACCGTAACTGGTATAACGGGGGCCAGGTGTGTTGGAGACGGTGGGATTGGCTCCGGACAGGACAGGATTCAGAGCTATTGTGCACAGCGTGACTATGAGTCGCAGGTGACTCCGCGGCACAAAGCAACAACAACAACAACAAGGAAGACTGAATGTATATTATAAGCCCCCCTTAGTTCTTCAAGAGTAAGGAAATCTACTTCCTGGAGAAGCTTCACTTCCTTCCTGCCTTCCACGTGCACATGCATTTCAGCAGAACATGGAAACCCCGGTGGCGCAGTGGTCAAGTGCTTGGCTGCAAACCCAAAGTTTCATGGTTTGGACCCACCAGCTGTCCCGTGGGAGAAAATGAAAGATTCAATCTACGTCCACGAAGATTTACAGCCATGGGAACCGTGTGGGCGGTTCAGTTATGCCCTTACAGCGTCCATCGAGGTGGAAGCCGCTTGACTGCAGCGAGGTTTGGCTTTGGCTTTTTGTTTAACAAGGTGTCAAACTAAAGCTCTGTGACAGTATCACAGAGGCCAAAAGGTCATCAGTTCTGGGGAGCAGATGACGGAATCATGATGGGCTCAAAACAACGGGAACATGGGAGCCATAATTTCACGGAGTACCTGCCTGTCAATCGGTTATCAAACGCTGAGCAAATATTTAGTGAGCCCTTCCCACGCACTTATCTTTACCTGAAGAGCAAAACAAATCCCACAGTCCTTCAAAGACTCAACGTCATCAGCACCTCTATCAGGCACCCCCTGATTGCTCCAGGCCCCCTGCCCACTCTTCTCCTTCTCCTTCCCTTGAGCCCCAATTCCCCCTCCAGAGGCCTTCCACCTGCCCCCCCACCCCGACTCCCTCCCTTCAATCCCTGACTCTCACCTTGACTGGCAGAAAAGAGGGTGAAGATGAGGGGGCAGCTCAAGATGACCACCTGGCCTAGAGGGGTGGCTGGCCAGCAGGTGAGGTTGTCCCACATCTTGCTGCAGCCTGGAGACAGGGGGATGATGGCAGAGGACATAAGTCAGCAAGGTCTCCAGCCAGGTGAGCCCCCAGACACCCACTCTCCTTGCCAGGATGGGAGACTACAGCATCCTTCCTGGAGGACCGTTCAGTCTGAGGGAGGGCATCCAGTCGAGCCTAATGGGATAAGCATGGTTCCAGTTCCGTGGTCCTCAGTGAGGGACACCTTGACTCCATGTGTTGTAAGCAGTGCTCAAGTTTTGGTTTTTTTTAACAGTGTTTGGGAAGGGGGCTTGTCTACATTTCATGGGCAGGCACGAGATGGGCCAGGTAGGTATCATGTACCTGGGTGATCTTGTATGGGTGTGAAGTGTCCCATGTCCCACCTGACTTTCAAATGAACCACCACACATCTGTGTAGCTGAAAACCTTTTGTAACAGCCAGGGCCTAGACAGTCACTCCATTTTACATATAACTCAAAACCCCAAGTCCTAAACCTATTGACACTGAGTCAATGCCATCTCATAGGGGGTGACCCTGTGTGTGTGTGTGTGTATGTGTGTGTGACACCCCTTAATCCCAAACCTGTTGATGATACTGAGTCAACACCATCTCAAAGGGGGTGACCGTGTGTGTGTGTGTGTGTGTGTGTGTGTGTGTGTGTGTGTGTGACAGCGCAGACCTGCTCCATAGGATTTTCTTGGCACTAATCTTTATGGGAGAAGATTTCCAGACCTTTCTTGCGTGTCACAGCTGAGAGGTTTTGAACCGTCAGCCTTTACGTCCATAATCAAGTGCCAAGCATTTGTACCGCCCATGGACTTTCACTCAGAACACAATGTACTCCATGTGCACATTTAACATACACGGGGTTTCCGGGAGGACAATTAGTGTGTCAAGGGAGTGAAGACCGTCCTCCTGAACTTTGCAAGGAGTTGTTCAGTGTTTTGGAAAAATCTCAGTTACAACAGCAGAACTGCTGGTGCTATTCGAGTTCCCACCTGTCCATCTCATTGATGTAGCCACCACCTGGACATTGCAATTCGCTTTTACAGCTCTCACCGTCCCAGCATTTATAGGTAGAGGCCCAACCTTCAGACTGCCTCTTATCTTTTACAGTTATGCTTACACACGTACAGAGCACTCCTTCTATAAATTGCATTCCTCTCTATTTGCCTTTGACATTATATCTAGAACATATTTTGGAGGTGGAAGTGTATATTCTGGGCTTCATTTTAAGACTGCAAAGATGTATTGCTAAAAGACAGTCGGTGGAAGAGGAAGACCCTCAGTGAGACGGTCTGACGTGGTGACCACCGCAGTGGGCATGAACAGGACAGGGACTGGTGTAGGGCAGGGCTCGATTCAGCTCTGTTGTTTGAAGGGCTGCCATGAGTCGCAACGGACTTGCTGGCCCCTCACAACTACGACAGTGGAGACATTAGAGAAGATCTGTTTTGAAAGAAAGTAATAGGTAGGAAATTTGGGCTCATTTGGAAGGAATCGTCATAAAATTCACAAAGTACAAGAATCCCAGACAGTTAAATTGGGGCTGAGTTCCGGGGGAAGCCACCCCCTTTATCATGGTTGCTTCTCCTCCACAGAAGCTCTTAGCCCTGCAGAGGCCTGGCCGCGGCAGGTGTGTGGGGGTCTGATTCAAGAGACAGAGATCAATGCCTCACATGCCCCTGAGGGACTTCCTACCCCGAGGAAGATTTAATTGTCTCTTTGTAAGCCTGCCAGTGCTACAGCTTTGCTCAGAAAACCAACCTCTGAGCCAAAGTCAATGCCAGCCAGCCTGACCCAGCCCAGCCCAGCCCAGGTCCGAAGGTTCACGAGTTCCCAAGACATGGGCCTGGGAAGAGGGGGTGGAGGGATGTCCCCACATGGGGAAGAGCAGCAAGGCTCTGAGAGGTGGGGGGACTGGAACAAGGAAGACCATCTTCCCAGGCTGTAGCGACCAGGTGGAATCTGGAGGTGACGGACAGCTTCCCCTGGATCTGCGGGGCCCAATCAGAGAGCAGAGTCCCTTCTTCGGGGACACTGACTTCTTTCACTCCCAACCTGTCCTGAGGATGCGTGTAGCTTCTCTCTGGCCTCAGGCCCTGCTCCGCTCTGCCAGTCACAGCAGGAGCCACTCAGGGGCCCTCTGGGTGAGCTAAATCTGCTCAGCGTCCAAGGTTCTGTCAGTTATATCAGCACACACAGCCCTCGTCGGTAGCCTGTGTGCCAGGCGCTGTCCTGTCCTCGTAAAGGAATCACTTTGTTAACTCTCTGATCTTACAGATGAGGAAACTGAGGTGCGGAGAGTTCACATGTCCCCTCTCCAGCATGCCTGTCCCTTCTCAGTTCAAAGGGCTCTATCACATTTCTCTGAGGATTCGGCCATTAGGACTGCACTTTGTTTACCCTTTTCTGACCGAGCAGCCCACACTTCCTTGGGGAGCCAGCTACCAGTGTCTTTCCATCCCTAGACTTGGGGGTCTATCTCAACCTCCAGCTGGAAGCACAGGCTTTGGAGTTAGGTCTCTGGCTCTGAGCACAGCTTCACCAGAGGTGGGGACAGACGAGAGGGAGACTGAAGCTCTGCACCTGTCCTCAAAGGACTTGAGTACAGGTCCTGGCCTGTGCCGGTGGCTTGTGCAAAGAGCCAGGAGAGACAAACCAATTCGGGGCCCCAGGAGAGGAGGTCCTGTCACACGCGTCACCAGGCCCACAGACGCACAGGGCCCACGGGAGGCAAGACGGGGCTGGTTTGCTGAGGCAGCGACAGACGTCCTTGGCACCTTGAGTGTGTGCTGGCCTGGCCTACCCCGGACCTTGGAGTGTTCTCTGAGTGCCTGTCCACAAGCCGCATCACATGTGTCCCCAGGCCCACAGACGTGCAAGGCCCAGACAGGCTCTGTGCACTACGGAGGCGGCAGCCCCAACAGGAAAGGTCAGTCTGGATGGACCTGGGGTGAGGGCTGCTGCTGTGTCATTTTATAGGCGTGGATGTGCACGTGACAAGCACTCCCAGGCAAGTGACCTTAGATACACACACGCACACACACATACATGCACACATGCCTGCATGTGAAAATACCAGCCATCAGGAAACACGGGCGCAGAGAGAGACACGACTCACAGATATACAAACAGACATGTTTGGGCATTCCAGGCATAGAGAGACATGGCCGTTCACATGTGTGTGCAGACACACACATACACACACACACACACACACACACACACACACATCAACAGGAAGAGAAGAAGAGGCATGTTCAGGTGTAGAATCATGTTCCCAGACACCCAGAGTCAGTTCTTAGAGGCCCAGCTAGAGACAGGAACCAGGAGCACACCCCTGCTTATACATGAGGACACAGAGCCCTGTCAAGGTCATGCCCACAGACCTGCCTTCCTCTGGATCCCAGGTTGGCTGCCTGGTGACAAGTGTGTTGGCATCCAAGTGGCACCCCGTGCCAGCAATGACCTCACCGGAATCATGAGGGCGGTATGCCCTCCCAGACTGGCAGTGGAGCCTGAAGCCTGGGGTCTGGGCCTCTCACGGGCTTGATGTCTGTCGAGTCCTGCCTGCAGCCTGGCCTGGCCCCTCAGCCCTGCTGGGGTATGTCTGCGGTGCGTGTCAGCAGCAGGCCCAGTGACTTAGGGTCCCAGGAGACGGTGGGCCATCCCTCCCTTGAGATCTGGGGAGGTGAAGCCTATCTGAGAGTACACATACTTGAGGTACAGGAGGCTGAGAGATGGGTTACCTGGGCTGAAAGGGAGGGATGGACGTGTTGAAGAGGTGGTAGGGAGGGGAATGGGCTGGGAAGACACTCAGACGCTCCTGAGACAGGGAGGCTCTTATACAACTGGAGCTTAGAGCCAGGGGAGATGCCCGAGAGGGAAGCTCAGAGCCAGGCAGCCACTTCACAGCCTCCAACTGTGTGCCAGCCCCACCCTTCCTCTGTGAGCTCCGAGCCCAACACCCTCCCACCTCCTCCAAACACACTGTTTAACCTTCCCAACCTCTGCCTGGACCTCCACCTTCCCGACCTCTGCCTGGACCCCCACCTTCCCGACCTCTGCCTGGACCCCCACCTTCCCGACCTCTGCCTGGACCCCCACCTTCCCGGCCTCTGCCTGGACCTCCACCTTCCCGACCTCTGCCTGGACCTCCACCTTCCCGACCTCTGCCTGGACCTCCACCTTCCCGACCTCTGCCTGGACCCCCACCTTCCCGGCCTCTGCCTGGACCTCCACCTTCCCGGCCTCTGCCTGGACC